GATGTGAAGTGATGTAGGGTAGTGAAGAAGTGTAAAGGAAAAAGTGTAAAGGAAAAAGTGTAAAGGAAAAAGGTTTCCGATAGTGATTCATGGGAAGTCTTTGGCTTATACTGCATGCCAAGGGCTGGTAAATGATTTAAAACTAGAATTACTGCCCTGCAGTTACATGCCTCCACCGGCCAGTCAAGTCGCAGTTTTAATCCATGTCTGCACAGACTCATATAATATATGTGGTTAATACTTGGAAGCAATTGTAAATGGGTATATAATGTGTGGTGTGGTGTATGTTTTGGCTAAATGGAAGTTATCACTAAATTAATGTTACATGTGTATGATTCCAGTAAATATAAATTACACATGTACTTGATTATTATACCAAGATGGATTCTTATATAGAGTATAGCTATACAAAATGTGGTACTCTCTGTCAGCTGTAGGTGAAACTCACTCACTCACTCACATACAGGATCACGACAATATGTTGTTGGCAATCACATGATTCTGTTGACACTTGTGTGAAAGGCAGAATGGATGAGATGGAAAGATGGAAACCTGTACTGTGCCAGTTGTTTTTTATTCATTGTGGTGTCCCAGTCAATGTGTATGAAATCATTTTGAGATCACAATGACCTTTGAGTCAAAAGTGTCACCAATTCAGTGTCCGACCAACTGTGAAAAATGGTCACAAGCTCCCATTCTGTTCCTGAGCAATGGTGTTGATTAAAGGACAAAAAACGTTTTTTTCCAGGACGTTATGATGATGAGGTTGACCTTTGACCTTCTGGATAAAACATGCCTTCACAAAATGATTGTTGTATCTCATGAAACATCTGTATGAAAATGTGGTCATAATTACTACATCAGTCCTAGAGTTGTGACCAAAAATGTGGTTGTCCGGGTCATTTTGAGGTCACAGTGACCTTTGATTCAAAAGTGTCACCAATTCATTATCCAACCAATTGTGAAATATGGTCAGTTTTGGCCAGAAGGTGAGGTCACAGTGTCCTTGACCTTTGACCACCAAATTCGAATCAGTTCATCCATGAGTCCAAGTGGATGTTTGTGCCAAGTTTGAAGAAATTCCCTCTCTCTTCCTGAGATATCGTGTTAGACTGACGGATGGACGCTGGCTCTGAGGCATAAAAATGTAATTAAACCAATAGATATTTTTAAATAAAATATCCGTCACATTATGCATTTTCATTATTATTTCAGCTGCACAATCGGGCACTACGTGCTAATTTAAAGGCCCTGGAAACCAATTTTCTCAATCAGCTGTTTCTGTAAGCTTTGGGTTTCTACGTGGACACATGATTTTCTGCTTATGTTAGAACACGGCTTGCTATGTTACATTAGAAATTTCTGTATTCGTGTTTTCTATGTTTACCAATCAGAATAATAACAGCGGACTTCTCAGTGAGATCTTGTTTCAAGCTAATATTGAGTCACTCTTAGGGATTTAACTGAAAAACCACATGCTGAAGTTGCTATGTGTAAACTAAGACCAGTCTAGCCTTGATGAAGATAGGATCTAGCAACAACAGAGCAAAAACTCCTTAAGCTGCTCAACTGACAAAGAACAAGAGGCAAAAGTTTGTGGACATAAATCCAGTGCCCTGAGGGATTTTACAAAGATATTGGTTCTTTGTCTGGTTCATAAATGTTACCATTATAATGAAATGAAGCTTATTTGGCCGTAAAAGCTCAAACAAACAACTTGGCAGATTGAATCACCAAAGCCAATCTGCAATTCATTAACAATAGAGCTGCTCCAGGTTTTGTTCCACATAACAAATTGCTTCATTGTCTCTGTTTTGTAGCTCTGAGGGAGGGTGTTTTAATGTACAAAAGTGGCCCAGGGTATCCACTGGACATATTGTATATTTTATCATGTTTTTCTGGTTTATACATACCGTACTTTATTTTCCATATTGAATTAGTTTTTTTAAACCAGCTTCTTGTTTCTGACCAGTGCTTTTATTTACTTCTTCTGTTCTATTTTTCTTAGAGTTACACTAAGCTTCAATGACAGACATGCACACATACACTGGAGATTCAAAAACACTGCCTCGAAAGACTGTGGGAGTCAATTATACCACTGTGATCTGGGCCATAGATTACACTTTAATAATATAAGTATCTAATTACTGCCTTGCATCCTTCACGCCTCTTCTGTACTCCTTAGTCATTATAGCCCACTGGCCTCGAATCACAGATAGTACGCAGACTTTAAAAGAAAACACAGCATTCGCTATGCGTTCTCATTGTAATTTTTGTATACACTGGTTTACAACATGGCAAGCTGCATTTTAATGCTATCTCCTCTGTAACATGTTTCCAGGGACCTGTAGACCTGCTTAGCCCTGTGCACCAGCTGTGCAAGTCACTAATAGAGGGCAGAGCCGGAGCAGACACACAGAGCTAAGTGCCCGTGTAGGACTGAGCAGTAAGGGGAGGAGGGAGAGGCAGAATTCAACATGCAGAGAAAAGCTTTACTAAGAGATGTTGCATATTACGTGAGCTGAATACTTAATGTGTGTCTTATTAAGCTGCGTCTGTCTGTGTGTGTGTTTGGGAGATGGAGATGGTGGAAAGAGATGGACAGCTGGAGAGATAGGTTTCACTTGCATCACACTGACTGCGTCACTCAGCGAGGTGTTAGCACTAACCTGATGTCCAGGCAGCGCAGCGTAGGATCAGCGGTCATACCCAGCACCCAGATGGTAAAGCCAACCAGCAGCAGCGTGGTTGTGAGGATGGTGCGCTTCACTTCCGTGGATGTGTCTCTTGCTGCCAGGCTAAATGCCACAGCCCCCCTCAAGCCTGAGAGCAGAGAAGACATGTCTGAGCAAACAGCTGGATTACTGCCATCCATCAAAGCAGCAGACAACTATCTACCAGGCAATTATTTGAAAAGGGCAGGAGAGAGCTATCCAGTTAATAACTGTTCATGAGTAACAGATTACACTCTGACTATCACTATTATCAACCAGTTGCTGACCAGCAAACAGCCCCAAAAACAAACTTATAGATTGCTGTACAGTGGTGACTTAATGCTCAAAGCCAAAACAATTCCCGGAGCAAATTCCAGGGAAACAGATGCGGGAGGTAGTGGTGATGGTGGGGGAGTTTGAAAAATAGCAAGACAAGGGCTTTTTACAAAGAAACCTTCTTACGTAAGAGATAAAGTGGGTCAGGCAGGCAGCAGAACATGCTGCTGCTGCACTACCCTACATCACTTCACATC